GGGGGGGGGGGGGCCACCCTATACGCGCTGCGCCTGCGGCGGCAGCGCCAGACGCGTCGCCGGCTCCGGCGCGGTGGCGGCGGCACTGGAATGCCGCGCGGCCCCCGCCCCGCACCGACCTCGCGCCTGCGGCATTGGGGGCGTGGAGCCCGCGCCGCAGCGCTCCTCTCCCCGTCGCGCGCACCGCACGGCTGCGACTGCCGCCAGGCCGTCAGATCACCAGATGACCAGATCAGGCGGAGCCGGCCTTCTCCGGGTCAATCAGGTCAACGGGGAACACGTCCCGCGCCTCGGGGTAGAGCAGCTGGCGGAGGGGAGGGGGGAAGGCAGAGGGGGCAGGCATCAGGTGACGGCAGGAGGGGCACTCTGCAGTAAAGCAGCGGCATGGCGCATACCGGCCAGCACGCTCACACAGTGAGACTTGCCCACGCATGCATTTGTCTGTTATACGCAAGTACACGTGCACAATCAGGCTGACGTGCACGAAACACATACTACACATACAGACACAGACTCTCTCTCTCTCTCTCGCACACACCCCCCTCCCACACACACACACGCACTCACAGAGACGCACTATCTCACACACACACACACACACACACACACACACACACACACACACATTCTCATTCTCTCTGACAGATTCACACATGCACACACTCACGTATACGCACGCATTTCCCTCACACGCACACGCAAACACGCACACACACACGCACACGCACACACACACACACCAACTCCCCCCTCTCACCTGCTTCTTCCCCGCGAGGTACTTGTTGATCATGCGCGTGGTGGAGTAGTTGAAGCCGTCACTGCCCGCCATGAAGCGCGCCCCGTTGCGCGCCTCGTTGATCTTGGTGCGCACCTTGGACGCCAGGACCTGGGGTATGTGGTGTGGGTGTCGGGTGTGGGGTGAGGGGTGGGTTGGGTTGGGTTGGGTTGGGTTGGGGTGAGGTCGGGTGGGGTGTGGTGAGGGTGTATGTGAGGGAGACAGTTTGTGTGTGTGTGTGTGTGTGTGTGCGTGTGTGTTCATGTGAGTGATCATGTGTGTGTTCTTGCGGGGATCATATGTCGGAAGCAAGAGGAGGTGTGGTGCGAGGCATGTGCGTGAAAATCGAGAGGGCCGGCCGGGTTCTGACGGGTTCCGCCGCGGCTTGGATGTTTTTCGCACACAAGCGTCCGTGCGCTGAGCGTCGGCGCGCGGCCCACTGCGCCAACCCCGTCGCGCGCTAGCGGCGTTGGGGACGCACTCGCTGTCGGGGCCCTGATGTTTGAATCCGCCCTCCCCCACACCCCTTGGTACCCTTGCAACACGCCGCCCTCAGCTCTCACACCCACACCAGCACGTGACAGCGCATGTACACGCCCACACACACCCCCCCACACACACACTCTCTTATATGCACGCCTCCTCTCCCCCCACCTTGCCGAGCTCCACCCCCCACTGGTCGAAGCTGTTGATGTTCCACACAAAGCCCTGGACCGCCACCTGGTGCTCGTACAGCGACAGGATCTGGCCCACCTGGGGGGCGGCGGTACGAGTGGGGTGGGCAGTACGAGTGGGGGCGGGGTTACAAGTGAAGGCGGGGGTACATTGCGGGAGTGCGAGGAGGAGCGGCTGTCTGAGCCGGGGCGGCAGTGAGAGTGGCGGCGGCGAGGGGGTTGTATTGTGAAGGGCCGTGAGGATGAGGGCAGCCTCTGGATCTGGGATGGCTGCAGGTGCGTGCTGCTTTTCAGGCGCGTCGCGAGCAGTGTCGCAGTGCCAGGCGATTCAAGGGCCTGCATACATAGTGTGTGCTCTGATCAGCTGGCACTCAGGGCCGGCTCAGCCCGTCCGGGGCGGCGGCAGGCGCGCGCCCGCGGCGCACTGGAGGGCTGTGCGGCGCTGGCGGCGCCCCGGGCTTCCTGCACACGCGGCGAGCCCCTTATGCCAGCTGTTCAACTTGTGTTTTTTTGGCCTCACCGTGTATGCGTTGAGCTCGGGCAGCAGCACGCTGAGGCTGGGACGGTTGCCCGTGAACACCCTGGGCAATTGGGGGAGGGGTGGGGGGGAGGGGTGCGGAGGTCGTGGCGCCAGTGAGAAAGAAACGGCGAGGAGGAGAGCGGGGGCCGAGGCTGTGGCGCCGTTGGAAAAGGCCGGCCGGGGAGGAGCTCGCTGCTAATACTCGCAGAAGCCCGGCAGCGCCCCAGCGTCGCCCCCTCAAGGGCTGACAAGAAGGGCGACGCCGCCACGACCCGCCGGCGCCCGCCCGGCACGACCCGTGTGCTGGCTGGGCGCATCCCAAGCGCGTCGTCCTCAGGCTTGAGGCCTGGCTCGCGGATGACCGAATAGTGTCGTATTGGACAAGCAAAGCGCCGCAAACGCCGCTGGGCATGCCAGGTTCAACGTGGGGGTACCATCAACCCTAAAAAATACAGTCTCAAAACCTGGGCTGCAAAGTCTACACGCACAACCCCGGACCCCAAACCCCGGGCTGTGCAAATTCTTCAGTTCACACAGCCCAGGGTTAACATTGGCCTTGGTTCCTGACCCCTGAACCCCAAACCCTGGGCTCTCCCGACCAATCCAGCTCGCCCGCCGAGCGCCCCCTGGAGCATCAACCCCAAACCCTAGGGTGCATAAACCAGTGCACACAGCCTAGGGTTTGGGGATCATGGTTCAGGCATAACTCTTTCTTGCCCGCCAAGCACCCCCTCAACCCCCAACCCTGGGCTCTGCCAACCAACCCTTCATGCGTCCCAAGTGCCCCGTGGAACCTGCACCTCTGGGTTCTGCCGACCAAACTCTGCGAGCAACAAGCCTGCTGTCCCCAAAGCGGCCCCACCTTTGCAGGACCCGGATCATGGTCCTGGTAAAATCCTTCGTGGCCCCCAAAGCGTCCCCTGGACCCGAAACCCCAAAACTCTGAGCTCTGCCAACCAACTCCGAACGCGTCCCAAGCGCCCCCTGGACCCTGAGCCCCAGATTATGAGCTTGGCCGACCAACCCCGCAAGCGGCAAGCCAGCTGTCCCCCAAGCCACCCCCACCTGTGCGGCACTAGGAAGTCCGGTACGTTCTGGCTGCGCAGCTCTGTGCTGGTCTTGCCATAGGCCAGGGCGTCGGCCTGGGCGAAGAAGTTGCACATCAGCTCGTCGTGGTTTGACACGATCTCGTTCTGGGGGTGGGGTTCGGGGTCCAGGGGTTCAGGGTTGAGAGTTTAGGTGCGGCCGGGGAAGGGTGGTTGGGGGCGTCGAGGGCGTGCTGGGGTCGGAGGGGGCGACTGGGCGGCGGGTGGACATGCGAGCTGGCGAGGCATGATTTGAATAATCACGTGCATCATTCCCAAGGGTATGCCCTGCAACAGACTCAGCAACACACACGCGCACACACACACACATGTCCGCTAGGACTCCTTCAAAAACGCAGAAACACGTAGATACGCACACACACATACACACACACTACTTCAGACATACACATACATGCCCCCGACCCCTCATGCCATACCTTGAGGTACACTGACTGCTGGCTGCGCACAATGCCGATGAAGTCGCAAGGGATGACGCGGCCCTGGGGGTTGGTTGATGTTTCCGAGGGAGCAGGGGTCACGCAGCCGGCGCAGAAGGCAGATGGTGGCGGCAGGCAATCGGGGGCACGCGACGGCGGGCAGGGGCGCCCGACAGATGAAGACCCTCCTCTGGCAAAGCAGCGAACGCAGGCGCCGGCAGCTCCACAACCCTGGTTTCTGAATCCTGAACCCCAAGGTCAAGAGCTTTCACTTGTAATTCTGGTTGACTTCGTCGCCGGCTCCCCCCCCTCCCCCCACCTGGTGGATGAGCTGGTAGAAGGAGTGCTGCCCGTTGGTGCCCGGCTCACCAAAGTCGATCTCACCGGCCTGGCGGGAGAGGGCAGGGGTTTTGGGGTTCGGCTTGGGATTGGGGGTCCACTCACACGCCGCGTCGAGCCACGCCGCGACTGTGCGCCGCCGCCCCAAGACAACCGCGCGAGACAGCCCAGCAAGCCACAGCATGGCGCGCCAACACTCAGCTCCAAACGGCACAAGTGCGTTGCCGGGCAGGACACAAGAACACACACACATACACACACACACACAAACACATGCACATATACACACACACACACATGCGCGCACACACACACACACACATGCACGCAGGCACGCGCGCACACACAC